ATTGAGGGGGGGGTAAACATTTCTTGAAAAAGACACTTGCACATCCGTGGTGAAAATGAAAACACTTTTTTTCTCCGGACACTTGGCCTCCGTAAAATCGACCCCCCCCCCCCTGGATCCGCGCCTGAATTTTATGGAGTTACTGTTCTCAAACGGTCTCAACCAAGTGTGTAAACACCTTCCATCGTGGACCCCATATTGTCCTTTTGTTTGTACCGCTAATTAACCTTTTAGGAAGACGTCCCATACATTATGTACACGGTCGTCAATTGTGCACCTTCAGGAACTGTCAACCCTGTTGTCCTCTATTGTTTAATGTCCCAATGCATAAACAAACCACATGAAATGAACGGAGGCTGTATTAGCAGAAAATCGTGTGCTTAACAGCGCCTAAAAATTGGGCCCTGATAAGTTCACAGTTAATGTATGCATGTTGTTGCGCCTATCTTAATAGGGTCACATAGTCCTGAAATGTATCTGCCTATAACATTGTTTACTTATGGTTTTCTTCGTTGAAACCAATGACATTTTTTTTTAGCATTATATTTCCCCCACTTGTGTTTACATATTAACTTGTTCTATTTCGCACACTAAATTGTTTATTTTTAGAATTTGTCTTCTTTGCTTTAAGTTTTTGAATACCTTCTGATTTTTTTCCGAACAACTTGTGTGCATTTTTTTTGTCGGTTCGTTACCCAATAAGGTAAGGAATTTCTATGGGGTATCTACCATTGCAAATGTGAATTGCGCAAGGATTTGATCTTTAGAAACTACTTCCACGATATGACCTTGCTGTATTGATGTTGGATATAATACAAATGCCAACTCACAATTAAAATAAAATCGCGTATACTTTCAATCGTGGCAAGTGTAGGGAATTCTCAGGTACTGACAAAATGTCCAATTCCATCTCTGTAGTGCGTAATCACAGATCCTATACACAAGAGGATGGACGACTGTTATGAGCGCCAGTACAAAATGCACTGAACTGAACATATTACATTGAACGGAACTACAAGCCCACAGTCCAGAACACGTTTTTCCTTTTGCACGGCAAAAATAGCGAAGTTTTATTCTACGACAAATGTACTTACACTTCCGGCGGTCCTGACCAATTAGATGACAAGGATTTATTCAAGTGTTGTATAAAACAAATAATGGATGGTTGTCATTCGTGCAATGGAAAGAATAATTACATTTATGGCAGATGGAATTGTTTCATTTCACGAGGCGAATGTATCACCTCATGAAATTATTCTTACCATTGCATTCCAAACATTAATTATAATTGTATAACATTTAAATCAAAGAGGAATGGTTATGTCTCATTACTGCATCCTTAAAGGGCTTATGTAAGGTAATGTTTTTTACTGCAATTCTTAAAATGCACCTTTATGTCAATTTAACCCTATTTTCAGTTAGCCATTTTGAAGGATATCTTAGTTTTTTTTTTTCGAAATGCGAATATCCATATTCACGAGCAAAACTGTGATAACAGTGTAACAGGTATTTCAGCACCAAAAGTTGCCAGAATTTTGGATATTACACTGTGGTGGATTTTTCTTTCTTAGGTGAGTCGTTGTTTTGTCAGTAGGCCTACTCGATATTAAGCCAGTGAGCAAAGTTTTTTTTTTTTTTCAATGAGCAAATTTGCGGGTTCACAATTTGCACAGAAAATCCCTGAACTAATTACGAATGTTTTCCAAAAATTAAATACATCACGCAACAACGCCCTCAGATGTCAGGAAAAGCTAGGATTTTTTAAAAATGTTTAAAACAAGTTACTTTTCGATAACATCAACTACTTTAAAAACGGAATGTCAAATACTGTAGTTTTCATAGAATTAACAGGATCAGAAAGTTGCATAAAATATGTTCTCATGTAAAATCCATATGCATGCCGTGAATCCTCTTTTTAAAGAAAACCCGAATATAAGGCCGTAAGTCGGGTTTTTCATCAAGACTGAACCAGGCTTTTTTTTAGTCTTTATCTTCAGATTTTATCTCCTTAGGGCAGTTCACAGCAGCAGATGAATGCCTATCACCAGCAGGGAACAATTAGTATTGCTAGTCTTAACGACTTTTTGGGCATTCCTGAATCATTCTTCAGTGGTCTAAACGCACCTAGAATTTTCATAAATTAAATATCAAACGTAATTTCTGTTTTTGTTGGGTAATGAAACCATGTGTTCTTTTTTGATCATTGAAATTGATGCATGAAAATCAACGAAAATCATGAATTTGTTGGACTGTGCCTTTTCATGTAAAATGTATGGGGTTTTAAAAAGGTAGATCCAGCAGGATCCAATCAGATAATGTTACACTGGGCTCAGTCAAAGATAAACATCGAAAGCCTGGTAGAATTTAAAGGGAAAATTGACATTAACATCCATGACAGTTCCTTGTAATTGCTACATTTACATTAGGCCAATTGTTTGTAAAAAAAAAACCAAAAACATTAAATTTCAATACAAAGTACGAGGATAATGATTGTTTGTGTCAACAATGTTATTTTATTCTAAACTTGCTAAATTTAAAGTCTAAAAATGCACTAACTTCTATTGTTTTAGTCATATAAACACTAATATTGTGTATTTTAGTACCGTTCAACTCTCTTTTTATTTAATGACATTATGTTCAGTTAAGATCTCACTTTAAACTGAATATATATTCTTATATCTCCTATTGGTTAGAATATTTTCAAATAATTTTAATCCTTGTAAATTGCTAGTTGTGTCGTTGTTGCTAGTTTTTGTTATATATTTTTTATCGTCTATGTAATTGTAAGCTCAGGGCCCCTTTGGGTACCACAGTATGTGAACGAATAATCATGATTAAAGATCAGAAATAATTTACATGAACAAATTAATAAATATATAAATAATTAAATAAATAAACTGAGGTTCAATTGGCTCATTGAATTGTTTTTTTTTCCTAGTTCTTACTTAACCTGATAGTTTAGGGTACATATTTTCCGAGCCATTGTGCACTTTCTGCTTTAAATCAAGTAACGAAAGGTATTAACCTAAATATCAATTGAAATCATTTCGTGGGAATATTCCAGCGTAGTGCACACAATTGACATAGGCCTACAAAATATGTCAACAATTCAGCGCCGATAGGCCGTTAGTCACGTGTTTCTTTTTAAGATGTAAACGAACGCGTATATGCACTAGGATCGATGAGTTGCAAATCTTTATGGCACGCAGGATAGAAATAATAATACTATATTGTAACTATAAATGAAACCTCGTTTCAATGGATACAATCTTGCTGCGCCATATGTTGGCTCCCATCATGCCTTGCGCGATCTTAACGCGCACGCGCCCCTGGAGTCAAGGCTGGTATGAATAAGCTACGATGAGCTGCATTTCATGTGCAAAGCAGGGTGGGCAGCCATGCGAGTAGCAAGATACACCACACAACTCGTTTTGTTCCCCCAATACACTGTAGCCTATGTCTAACTTGTTTGTCCGTTTGTGTTATAACTGCTGAAATGTAGGCCTGCATCCATATTTATATGAGACCCTGGAGCGTTTTCTGCACAGATTCAAGTAGAGCTCGGTCGCCTTTCGGGGATTGATAGCTATTTTTCAGAGTAGTTTATCTTGAGATTATAGTATATACCATGTTCTATTTTGGTGCGTTTTGTCGCCTATTTCAGGGGTCGTGAGTGGCATGAAGATTACATGACCAGTATAGCGGATCCATGCAGGGGGTAGGGGAGGGGTGGTGAGGGGTGTGGGTGGTGGGGGTCAGAATCCCCCTTCAGCCGCTGACTAAGGTTATGAAACTAGTAAAATGAGGCCAACAATAATAAATGGAACGCTAAAGTTCGTAAATTCATCTCAAATTTTCTTAGAATGCAGGAAAATGCATACTACATTACAACATGTTCCCGGGGGCAAGCCATCTGACCACCGGAACTCGAGGAGGCACGCCTTTAATTCGAATCAAATACTGCTTGGAAAACCGCGCCTCTGTAATTCCATTGATGCTTTTTTTTCTTAACCTCCAAATTAGGAATATATAACTCCCCCCCCCCAAAAAAAAGGCTATATAGATAGGTAACTTCCACCCACGGTATTTGTACGAATTAGCTACCAATCTTGAATTTGAAACTGAAAGACTTTGTGTAACGGAATAAAACGCGCGCGCATGGACATACGACTGCAATATACTGTTGCAGTCCAGTAAATAAGCGATAAAAAAGTCCAGGGATAAATACCTCACTTCCAAAAGTCAGGAAAAAATACTCACAGCTCTCGAAGGCATTTGAGACACATCAAATTAACGCTTATTTCCTCTATCATTATATGTTTTTTTTTTGTTTTTTTTTTTGGGGGGGGAAATCTGATGACGTTTGGTAGATATTTCCATCCAAAGTAATCACCCCTAAAGTAGTCCAGAAGCCCATGAACATTTTGAAAAATGATGCCTGCGCTCTTTTGCAAAATACGGCAATAATAGGGCCCCATTTCATCAAAATTAGCTTACGGATTTCAACCTTCTTCTTTTTGCAAAACCTGAATTTCATTGCCCACAAAATATGTTTGGACCTGTTGGTCAACACAATGTCACAAGACCAGAGAACCATCGTCAGAACCAATTATCATAAAGAACCAGCAAGAAATGGGGGTCTGAAAAATAGACCTTAAGTAAAACTTAATCAGAGTGAATCGATCACTTTAACAATGGATGGACGTAAAAGACTTTCCATAATTCTGTCAAGATTTGAGAAGCAAGATTTATTTGTTAAATTACTTCTGCGCCAGTACCTATCTGCTGGAAAAATCAATCGAACAGTTCTTTCCATCAAGTCGTTTTTTGAGACAACAAGGGCAAAGATTTTGGAATTTTGTCTTTTTTTGCCGTTCTTGCGCCTCGGAAGTTCTTTTATCACAACCATAATGGTAAATTCAATCCGTCTTGTAAGAAAGTTGGACAGACGAAAAAAAAACCACAATTTGTACTGTCGCGAGGTGGCAACCCCAGCGATGATGTTGGGTGGTCAGGTTCACCCTCATGAAGATGAAGTAAGGTGGGAAACAAGCAGACCAGTCGAATACTCAGATGGTTATTTATGCTGATTCACTTGATCGAGTTTTAATTTAATTCAGTTTCTCATACTATACAAAATAATCCAAATGAAGATCGAAATGAAAACACAAAATGAAGTCCCCTGAATGAAGACTCAGGTGAAGAACCAAACAAAGACCCAGATAAAGACCCTGTTGATAATGAATAAAAGGAATTAGTCTTAACTTAACTTGTGTGAGTCTTGTTCCAACTCATTGGAAGTTAAATTAATGTTATTATACACAATATGTTTTCTAATTATACACTATCTAGTTGTTTTATAGGCAGGTGTCATGACCACTCGAAAGAATACTTAATAAGATGAATGATTTATCAGGCACACAAAGAGAATCACAGTCTTACCCTGATATAAAATAGAGAAGGATAACTACAATGCACTTTAGGTATCAAACTTCAAAGCTTGTGGCTGAACATTCTCAGTAAAGTCTCATGCAGCTACAGATTAAAATGCATAAAAATACAAATATCATAAACGGGGAACATATTTAAGGAAATATCTTCTAACATAAAAAAGTCCCGTGCACCCATCGCGACATACACGGACAGCTATTCCAAATAAAGCGAGTAATTGTACCATACAGCTGCGATTCAACGTTGTGCCGTGCATACGCATATATATACACAATGTACATGTACACAATGCTGAACTCAAGTGTCACCATTATTGTGCAGTGCATGTATACGAAAACGGTCATTCAACTCTAGAAAAGTGTTGACACTTTCATACAAAACTAACACCCTAAAAACTATAAGAATCAATGAGTTTGACAATAAGTATATCAATCAACCTCTTCTATATCCCTTAAATTGTCTACTCAATACCTGATTACAATCAAACTTACCCCAAAAAGGAGAGAAAAGTGGGCGACTTTTAGACAAGAGTTGACTCGGTCTGAGTTTCTTTCACGGCTCGCTCACAAGAGGACAAACCATGTGAGCGATAGCGCTCTTACCGTAATGCAATGACAACAACCCCTCGTCGCGGATACAAAAAAAATGTTAGCTTTGATACTGACAATGATGATGATATACTGTTATCAAATAATCATAAATATTTATATCAAATGACATAAATATCAACGAACATTGTTTCAACTAGGGCCATTACACAGTGGCGGAGTATGTACAATAAAGGGAACAGCCAAAAAAATAGCATTGCATTATTCATATTCCTCATGAATTAATCATAATTTTAAACCCCAAAACCCATATCGTTACTTTACGATGAAATATTTTCTTTAGAACAAAAAACGGCCACATTGGGGTGCTGCAGTGGCTATATGAAAACCTCCTTAAATAAGTCGCGAAGTACATCTAAACTCTATTGAAGAAAAAGAAAAACTCGAAAGAGTTTTACAATTTGTCTCCCTTGAACAAACTGTAGGTACTAACTGCAGATCTAAACAGTAGTATGGATTCTCCCGTTCGCGAGAAACAAGATGTTTGTGCAGATTTGGAGGAATCTCATTTGTGCACTGTAGCAGGTACGTATGCCGGTCACATTTCACATTCGGAATAGACCTGAGACCTGATGACGCTACGCTTGTTTACATAAGCGCTTCCCTACGTGGTAGACGGTCCCTGCTTCCTCTGGCATTCCAACTTCAGTCTTATTATAGGAAAACCCATATGAAAACAAAGCACTACGTCATTAGGCCTCAAGTTTAATAATGCGTACTTATTGCCTACGGTGTTTCTGTTGTTGAAACAGGTGCATACCTATGTGTTCCTCAGTAACTATGTTCTTTAATACCTATGTTCCCTAACCCCTAACCCTAACCATATTACCATAACCTAACCCTAATCCTAACCCTAACCCTTTGGATTTTTGGGAAAACAGGTATCGGGGAACATAGGTATTGGGGAACATCGGGTACTAGTAGACCCCGTTTAAACTGTTCATTTACCGCCCTTCTTTTTCATTGATCTGTCCTTCAATAGTAAAGATGGGAGGCATTTGTGACTTGTGGTCAAATGGTGCCATTCTTTGTTCTTTTTTTTCGTGTTAAAGGTCACAAAGGTCACAAGTTAAAACCATATGAGTTGAGGAAGAAAAAAGCCACGGGCATCCGTTGGCTTCGTTAAATTGTCATTATGCATTTCGTGATTCCAGTTCGGACTAAACGGATTAACGAAATTGTCAATTTCTTTTTGGAATATGGCGCTGAGTATAAACGTTATGTTTGAGTTAACAACAACACTTTTAGCCACGATTTTGGATTTCGGAGAAGTGTCACTAAAACAATCACATGCAAGGTTGAGGACAAATGCAATCATTTATTCCAAAAAACTGTTAATGTGATTTTTTTTCTGTCGTATATGACTTTCCTCTTCCCAGGGGAAGGATTAAGGATGAACATAATTGAAGAATGCCATTGGGCTGAAGACGCTGACCTAGAAAATACTCCTGGTCCCTCAAACGGCATTACTGAGAAGCAAGAGCAGGCGAGAGACACTTCTGCATCAGCATGTAGATGCATCGGTAAATTGTGCACATGATCTTAAGTTTCATCATATTGTTGTTAAAACATTTTTGTGCCCCTCGTTCGTATCAACCTGTTTTTATCACTTTTTTTATCCAGTATGAAAAAAGAAACGCAATAAAAAAAATGTTAGGCCTAAGTTAAGTTTTTTGGTTATAGTTTCGAAATAATGTGTAACTGCGTCCGCTCAATTTTGACTGAATGTGCATGCTTTTCACCCGATGTGTGCCCTCCTCATTTTGTCGTGAAGGTCAAATTAGATTGTCGCATGACTTTTAAATGTCATGGCAACATTATAACGGACCACCTGGAGGTAATAAGAAAAACCTACAATTTGAGTCTCAGCCACTTTTAAGCATTTTCAATTATTTAATACAGATGATCTAAACTTAAGTAATCTCGTTCTTTTTCCAACTTATGTACAGTGGAAAAGCGAAAGAGGAAGAAGAATATGAGGAGAAGGAGTTGGAAAAAGACGTGTAAGAATAGCCTCCTATAACTGACGAAACTAAATACTTACATGAAATAAAATTATGCAAAAATTCATGATAGTCCGTTAATTTCTTTTGTACTTGTCTACCACTTCAGTATGGAAAGTTTGATTGACTTATTGTTCCTCAGTTTTAAGAATCACATGTCTCTTACATAATACCATGTCATTTACTAAACTATTCGTTTCAATTTTTCGATAATGTTATTCCCATTGCATTCTTATATTTCATGAGATGACAACACTTGTGAAAATATAAAAAAAAAATCCATTTCCGGATAAATTTAATATCACTATACTATTTTTGGTATTCTTAAAAAGTTAACTGTTTTTTTTCATTATTTTGGTATCATTTGCAGTACAGCAACGGAGAACGAATATGCTGATAAGAGTGAAAAAAGGTAAGACATTCTTTGAATTCAATAAGAACAGAACGCAATCCACTAGAACTTTAGAAGCAAGTCCAGATATTACACACATGTCTTAACGTGAAACAAATGGCAACACTTTTGTATATTTCTCTCATAGTTCCTTAAAAGGTAGCCCAGAGTGTTGGGAAAAAAAAGTGTGTACACCAAAAGTGAAGAAAAAAACTGAGTCACTGCCATTAGTGTGGCAATTCGTATTTTTTTTCAAATTAATTAATTTTCTCGAAATGAGGTCAGTCACGTTCAGCGGGACACTGTTGAAATAAATTAAGCTAAAAATACATTTGGTATCATTGGAAGGCAATTTATTCGCTTAAACATGATAGTCCAGGAGATATGTAAAAAAATTGTGCACTTTTGCATAAAAGCGTGAAACTTGGCACAGGTGTTTATATTCATGCGAGAAAATGTTTTAGATGTGGAGCCATCGCAAATTTACCCTTTTAGGGGCGTGGCATCCATTTAAAAAAGGGGGCGGGACTTGTCGTGCCCGCTGTGAAAACGGTTTTTCCTACTTGTTACAAAAGCAGGAAACTTCACAAAGACATAATTATATAGATTATTAGTGTTTTCCAGATTCGGAGCCACCACAAAAGTACCTTTTTGGGGGCGTGAAAGCCATTAAAAGAAAAAAGGGGGGGGGTAATTATTATGCCCACTTTGGAAAACATTGTGCCCATATTTCATGAATGAATAAATCGTCCCACAGACGTTTACATTCATGAGAAAACAAATTCCAGATGTGGAGCCATCTCGTACACACCCTTTTAGGGGCGTGGCAACCATATAAGAAAAAAAGGGGGCGGGGTTTTCATTATGCCCACCCTGGAAATATTGTTCCCACACTCATAGAGAAATGAAACTTTCCACAAACATTAACATTCATGAGAAAAACAATTCCAAAGGTGGAGCCATCTCGAACACACCCTTTTAGGGGCGTGGCAACCATATAAGAAAAAAAGGGGGCGGGGTTTTCATTATGCCCACCCTGGAAATAATGTTCCCACACTCATAGAGAAATGAAACTTTCCACAAACATTAACATTCATGAGAAAAACAATTCCAAAGGTGGAGCCATCTCGAACACACCCTTTTAGGGCCGTGGCAACCATATAAGAAAAAAAGGGGGCGGGGTTTTCATTGTACCCACCCTGGAAATAATGTTCCCACATTCATAGAGAAATGGAACTTTCTACAGACATTTACATTCATGAGAAAAACAATTCCAGATGTGGAGCCATCGCGAACACACCCTTTTAGGGGCGTGGCAGCCATATTGAAAAAGGGGGCGGGGTTTTCATTATGCCCACCATGGGAAAAATGTGCCCACATCTCATAAACCAATGAAGCTATTTCCCACAGACAGTAATACTCACGAGAAAAAAAAAACACACGTGAAGCCATCAAACCTGTAAACTCACCCTTTTAGGGGCGTGACAGCCATAATAAAATGGGGGGGGGGGTAGTCATGATGCCCCTATAGAAGAAAGTTGTGCCTACCTTTCATAAATGGATTAAATTCTACTCGGACAATATATATTCATAAAAATCTTTTTTTTTTAATGTGAAGCCATCACAAACCTACCCTTTTAGAGGCGCGGTATCCATTTTTGAAATGGGGGGGGGGGGGGGTACTCAATATGCACACCGTGGGAAATTTTGACCCGTTTCATATAATAAAATCCACCTCAGATAGCTCTTTAATGTGTTGGAGTAGGGCCGCCTTTATAGTTGGAAGTTACCGTTGGCAAACCCTTTGTTTTCTTACACTATGCATTCTTGCCTCATCTATATTAACCCAGTTACTGGTTCTGTTGTCTGTAGAATTATTGTTAACCTTTCAACTGCAGCAATTTCAGAATTGGGGTATAAACTGGGGTACCTCAGTTAGTCTTGGAAAGACTAGTGTTACTTCTTCAAATACATTGTTTCCCCTGCCTTTTTTTCTGACAGACCAAAAGGCATATGCAGTGTCGCAACTGTATAAAGTATAAATTTGTTTTAATGGATTTGGTCAGGGTAAAAAAAAAATACTCATCAGAGCTTGATATACCATTTTTAAGAGAACAGAGGGGTTGTGTGGTGGGGGTACACAGATTTATTGAATGTGAAGTCATAGTGGACGTTTCCACCAATTTGTGAGGCGAGTACATCGTGTTGTTACCCAATCTGCTGTCAATGCAGCGCAACGGGTAGGGGGTAGGGGGATTTTACACTCCCCCCCCCCCCCATAAAAAAGGATTTCCATGGCCCTTAAATGTTTAATGTTAGAGTTTAGGGCTGCCATTGTGTGCTGTGTATTTGTAATTATGAAATCACTCTGGAATTTAGATGTGCATGATAATATAGGTGCAAGTACATACATTGAACCCTATAACTGGGGTTAGCCTACCGGTACTTACCCATGCTCTTTGGTATAAGTCATTGTATTACCAAAAAAATATAGGTTACGGGCCAATCAACATTATAAGAAATCAACAACAAAATATACAAAAATTGCAATTGGGGGCACAGTTAGTAGGCCCCTCACACCTCTAAAAGAATGAGTTTGCTATGGCTCCAAATATGAATTTATTTTCTCGCACCAAGTTTGTGTGAAGTTTACTCATTCATGAAAGTTGGATGGTGGGCAAACGATTAGTAGCACCCACCTCCCATTTTTTTTAAAAATAGATGCCATGCATCTTAGAAGATAAGTTTGTGATGGCTTCAAATTAAAAAAAGAGAGAAAGATTTTCATGAATATATTGTCCGGGTCGAGTTTAATCCATTAATGAAAGGTAGGCATGACTTTCTTTTATAGGGGCATCATGACTACCCCCCCCCATTTTACTATGGCTGCCACGCCCCTAAAAGGGTGTGTTAATATGTAGAATGGCTTCACGTGTGATTTGTTTTGCTCGTGAAATTTAATGTCTGTGGGAATTAGCTTCATTCGTTTATATGATGTGGGCACATTTTGTAAATGTTGGGCATAATGAGAACCCCGCCCCCTTTTTTTTCAATATGGCTGCCACGCCCCTAAAAGGGTGTGTTCGTGATGGCTCCACATCTGGTACTGTTTTTCTCATTAATGTCAATGTCTGTGGAAAGTTCCAGTTCTCTATGAATGTGGGAACATTATTTCCAGGGTGGGCATAATGAAACCCCCTCCTTTTTTTCTTATATGGTTGCCACGCCCCTAAAAGGGTGTGTTCGAGATGGCTCCACATCTGGAATTTGTTTTCTCATGAATGTAAACGTCTGTGAGACGTTTCATTCATTCATGAAATATGGGCACAATGTTTTCCAAAGTGGGCATAATAATTTTCCCCCTTTTCTTTTAATGGCTGCCACGCCCCCAAAAAGGTACTTTTGTGGTGGCTCCGAATCTGGAAAACACTAATAATCTATATAACTACATGTATGTCTTCGTGAAGTTTCCTACTTTTGTAACAAGTAGGAAAAACCGTTTTCACTGCGGGCATGACAAGTCCCGCCCCCTTTTTCAAATGGATGCCACGACCCTAAAAGGGTAAATTTGCGATGGCTCCACATCTAAAACATTTTCTCGCATGAATATAAACATCTGTGCCAAGTTTCACGCTTTTATGCAAAAATGCACAATTCATCGATATTTTGTCACATATCCGCTGGACTATGATGCGTAACTTGAAAGCCAAACCTGGGTGTTATTCCTCATTATGCTATGGCAGGTCACATATTACAAACCAACCTCAGAAAAATGGATTTCATTAATGTGTCAAAATGGATTCAAATTTTTCCACTTATCGTGTGCATAACTAGTGTGTAAATGAACACGCCTGTTTGCAGTTATTTCTCCGGACATTTACGCCTCCGAAAATCAAGGGGGGGGGGCCTCGTACCATATTGGGAGCGCTGATGAAATCCTACAATCATGCAATAAAGGTAAAGTTAAAGGGGACGAACCTGCATTAACAGGAACGGAGTGCCCATCTCTCTTTCGTTAGCGATTGGGCCGGACTCGTATGCAGCTGTTGGGCAGTGTGGCCGCTCTGTTTTTTTGTTTTTTTTCAAGATCGCCATCTAAAATTTTTCAAAATTTTTCAAGCCTATGAAAATTACTAGACCAGCCAACCTGTTCCATTATGCAAAGGTTTTTTTGAAAGGATTGAAGCTCTTTTCAACAACTGTGCCATTTTTTTTTCAAATTTGCTGTTAATTTTCTGTCAAAATACTATTTTTCCAGAATCCTGCCAGAAATCTGCCAAAAAAATCCATTCTGTCAAATTTTCTGTCAAACTCTTTTTTTAACAAAAATTCTGTCAAAGTTAGCCGAAAATCGGCTGAAACGGTCACAATGCCCTCTCCCGGAGAGGGCATCTAATAAAGCGCGTCATGTAGTGCCTAGCCTATAAGCTAGTGTATGTACATACACTGCAGGGTCTGACCGTAAGTATAGCGCGCCAATGCTAAAAGAATTACATTAAAAATAAAAGTCGCTAAAAAGCTCGGGTGTTCAGTAGAAAAAGTTGTCAAAGTTTCTACAAAACATATGGTTTTGTACTTTTAGTTGAAAATTTTCAAGATTTCTTGCTTTTTCATTTTTTTTCTTCAAGTTTTCAAGTTGGGTCTCAATTTTTCAAGATCTTGAAAAAAATTTCAAGCAGTGGCCACACTGCTGTTGGGGTTTAGATCGCCACACCCTCCTCCACAGCGAGTCTGTTACTTTCCCAGCATTGAATAATGCCGGTACCCATTTAACACCTTGGCTGAAAGGAGTAATTGAGGTAAAGCGCCTTACTCAAGGGCAGAACACACATTGCCACGGCGGGGCTCGCACCCACAATCTCACGATCATGACTCCTATGCTCTACCGCTAGACCACACGTGCACAATCATGCACTGTATTTCTTACTGAATAGTGTACAAATGCCCCCTTCTCACAAATATTTTTTTTGGGTAGACCGTTCGCATGTGACGTCATCTAAGCTTCTTACATTCGCTACTGCCATTTCATTTTTTTTGAGGAGGGGTCCCCCTCCCCTAGGCCCCCCTCCAAAAAAAAAACGCGCCTGGTTGTATATCATATGACACAGAGGCAAGGGATATTACTGAGAGTATCGTTGGAAATGAATAAAAGCACAATCTTAAAATTCTACTTTGTTTCTCCGGAATAAAAGAAGATTAAATTATATCAAAAGCTCCTTACTTTCTTTTTCAAAAATAAAATAAAATTGTTATCGTGAGACGTATGTCGTTTTGCAAATGGTCAGGGAAATTAATTGGTTACATCGTTTGATATATCTTTCAAACCTGATGCAGACACAAGGCCAAAGAGGAAGACAGAGAAGAAGAAAACTACAAAGAAAAGGAGGAAGAGAAAATGTAAGTCAGCTTTGCAGCCCAGGACAAAAAGAAGAATCATATGCTATATATATATACACTCAACCAAAAAAAGACAGTCTCCCCTTTATACTTTTTTGTCCAACTTAAAAGAAAATATACTGGGCACATCTTGCTCAAATTACGACTATGCTATGGTGTAGGAAAAGTAAACATATCGATTGGCCTAATTGCAGTTTGCCGCCCCTTGATGGCATTAAGCCAAAAACGATGTTCTTGGCATAAGGATGGATGGTTTCTGCTAAGTTGATACAAATGTATTAAGTTCACGCGCGCGCTTTGACGCGCTAAGTGCATAGAGGGCAAGAAAGGCCAGTTCGGCGTAGCATTTTGAGACCGCTACATCAAAAATAAACCCACCTTCTCCCCTTCATCCGCCATATTTTACGAATTTATAAATGGCAGTAAGGTCCTGGGAGCGACGGGCAGTGCCTCAATTCAAACTAAATAAACAAGTTGGGTATTTAGTTTTGAAGTAAGACTTGGAATTTGGACGTTAAACATTTAACAGGTTGTGTTTAGTCTTTGTAAAAAAGTACGCCAAGCACCCATTTGTACTGATGGGGCATGTCAACCGTATCTACGAGCGGTGGACCAAATGAGGGTGCTTTTCCAATTTATTTAGTAATTTTGCATATGTTTAAGTCACGTGAAAAACTTACAAACACTTTGGCTAGCACCCACTTGTTCTGGTGGGGCTAGTGAATGTTTGGCAAGCGTGCCAAGGTTTTGGGCCCAGTGATGCCAAGCATGGCAAGGAGGGGCAAGCGTGCCCCGTTTTATGGCAAGCGTGCCAAAATGTTTAGGCAAATAACTTTAAGTAAACCGAAAGATAATTTTAATTGGTCCGTTATAGTCCATCAAGGTATTCACTGCCATTTAATCAAGTTAAATATTGACCATGGAGAAATAAAATAGCGGCTCAAAAACTATGCCAAAAAGTCAAGTCATTGTTGCAATGCGTGGTTTGGTTTTGTGCGTTGTCTGAGAATAAGATGTGTTATTGCTCAGTCTAATTCCACACAATTACCAACAAAAAATACTATGTTTGAGAACTTTGGAGATCATAATTTTGTTTTGTTTCAAGAAAAAGAACCCCCTTGCATATAGTTTAGACAAAATTAACACAGTTCAACACACCATTAACTCACAGCTATCCTATTATATAGTCCTGTCCAGTTTATTCAAATTAAAAGATAAACAACCTGAATATCCGTATTGAGTTCAATTCTGTACGGATCAATACATTCTCAATTATATTTCAATTTTTACTAATTCAAATATTTTGTGAGTTGGACTGCAATTAGAAAAAAAATTCCATGACGTTTGAAATCTTCATTGGTTTTTTTTTTTTAATTCTACACAGGGTTAAAGCCGAGGCGGATGAAGAAAGGTAATTAGAGCATTAAACAACAGACAGAAAAAGGCAAAATACTATTTAAGATAATGAACAATTCTTAATGCAGCGAACATTGAGCAGCGTCTCCCAGTTTTCCCCGAGGCTTTCGTTGTACATAATGACCCCGACTCCAATCCGCTGGAAATTATGTGCATATTTAAACATGAAAGTCATCAAAGTCAAAGACAATTTTGGTTCTTGCATTTTTGGGGACATTTTGGAATAATTTTATACATACATGAATTGCGGTATTGACACTCATTAAGATGAGCTATTATTTTGCTGTATTTTACTTTACATTTTCACGCCAAAAGGTGATCTTTAATTTTTTTATTTATTTATTTTTTTTTAGTGAGGATTGTTCAAGGATTGAGAAAGTCCCCCTTTTCAAAAGGGGGGGGGGCAATGCTCGCTGTAAGCGCCGTAGGGAGAAGGCTTATCGTGCATTTTCGAAGTTGTTCACTTCTAAATTGGTCCTCGTTTACATTTCAAACAAATTGTAGTTCTAAAGCAAACAGCAAACATATGATATAAGTAAATCGTTCGATTGACTGTGGACTCTTGATATATCTCAAAGAGTGTTAGTTACCATGAATTGAGTGAATGACAGTTATGGATTTGTTTTGGTTGGTTTTTGCTTCGCACAGGTGTGCTAGTGCTCAAAGTAATTGTTTTGAAAAGGTTTTGAAGCAGAGTATTTTCTTGCGTGGCCTTTTTACATATTTATCATTTGTATTTCTATACTCTGTAGGCCAGACACGAAATATGTCTCCCACCTCAACTCAGACTGGGGAAGAAAGCAGAACAGATTCCCCAACAGCTGATAGTGACAGACAGGGTAATTTCGAATACTCCGACCAATCTGGGGAATCTCATTCTTCTACTGTAGAAGGTACGAATATCAATAACTGCGCAGTTCGCTTATAAACGAGTTTTTTTTTGGAAGGCAAAATGTTCCCTCTGTTATTTTCAGTACATCTATTGGTTATCGATTTACAAGGGCACTCTTGGAGCTAAAACGTTATGTAGGCATACGAAGTTAATGTAGACATAGACAGCCCCATATATTAATAGTATACAGATGTTGAGTGGCTCAGAGTGAAATGGGAGAAATATTATTGCAAGGTAAAATCTAGACTTTTCCATTTCACGAGGCGACGCAATGTAGACCTAAAGCACTATAATACCAAATGGTATACAAATGCCCCCTTCTCATTATTTTTTTGTTTGTTTTATATCATATGACACACAGGTAAGGGATATTATTGAGAATCATTGGAAATGAATAAAAATATAATCTTTATTTTCTGCCATGTTACTCTGAAACAAAAATGATTAAATGATATCAACAAGTCCTTACTTTCTTTTTAAAAATAAACTTGTTATCGAACGACGTTTGCCGTTGTGCAACTGGTCATGGAAATTTAATTGTTACATCGGTTGATATTTCTTTCAACCCTGATGCAGACACAAGGCCAAAGAGAAAGACAAAGAAGAAAACTACAAAGAAAAGGAGGAAGAGAAAATGTAAGTCAGCTTTGGAGCCCACGACAAAAAGAAGTATCATAATAGCAAATGCATAATGATGATGAGACATTCTTTCAAAAATTTACTGCAGTACTGGCCATGTATAGAAAGCCAAAGAGAATGATAAGATGTGTTATTGCTCAGCTTAATAATCATTCCAAAAAATTACAAATAAAAATAATGTTGAAGAAGGAAGAAAAGTACGGAGAGCTTTGGAGATCATACTTTAATTTGTTTGATTCAAGAAAAAAGAATCCGAGGGTGCAGAACTGAAGCACAATTCGATGGATGCTCATTAAGAAATAAAAATGATCAATGGTATGTAGCCCCTAGCATACATTTGAGACAAAATTAAACAAAATTTAACAAAACATTGACAGACGGCTATCCTGTTATATAGTTCTGTTCTGTTTATTCCATGTAAATTTAAAACAAACAACCTGGAATATTCGTATTTGAGTTCAATTCTGTTCGGATCAATACATTCTTAATTATATTTCAATTTTTACTTATTTAACTATTTTGTGAGTTGGACTGCAGTAATAAAATTCCGTGACGTTTAAAATCTTCAGTGTATTTTTTTTTAAATTCTACACAGGGTTAAAGCCAAGGCGGATGAAGAAAGGTAATTAGAGCATTTGACAACAGACCAAAAAAAAACAAACCTATTTGAGACAATGAACTATTTAGTAACACGAATATTTGGCGGAGTTTCCCAGTTATCGATCCCTGATGAGGCCGTCATTGCACATGATGACCCTCGACGCCAATCGGCTGAAAAAATATGTGCATAATTTAAGTCAAACACAATTTTGGTTCATGCAGTTTTGGGGACATTTTTAGAATTCATATTGCGGTATTCTGAGTAATTCTGATGAGCAGTTATTTTCTTTACATGCCAAAAGTGTTCTTCAACAATTATTTTTTGAAGATTGTTTAAGGATTGCAAATTCCTGCCCGTATCTGAAAAGAGGGGGGGGGGGGGGGCAGTGCTCGTCTTTATAGGCACCGAAGGGAGAAGGCTGATCGTTTTTTTTTTCGATGTTCACTTCTAACTTGGTCTTCGTTTACACTTCAAACAATATAGATCTAAAGCAAACAGCAAATATTCTTAATTTTGTAGCAGGAGGCCGGGCCTAGCAAAGTGTGGGGGGGGGCAGTTGGGTGTTCACCTATTGACAGAAATCCAAGGTAAAAGTTCAAAGCACACCTTAATTGTTCGTTATTTGAAAAAAAAAAATTTTGATGGAAACTATTTATAGAATGTGTTCGGAGTCCTCTGACAATGTTTGTTTGAATTTTTGTTCGGGGGGGGGGGGATTAAGCAGAAAATAATTGAAGTTTTCTTCGTTCATAACGGAAAATGTTACTCCTCGAAGAGTTATAGTTACTTCTGTTACAGTGTTTTGGCTGTTAGTTTAAAAACAAAAAACAATGTAATTTTTAATTTTTTTTTAAATCCGAGTATTTTCTTGCATGGCCATATTGAATTTATCAGTTGTATTTCCATACTCGGTAGGCCAAAAACAAAATATGTCGAACACCTCAACCCAGACCGGCGAAGAAAGCAGAACAGATTCCCCAACAGCTGATAGTGACAGACAGGGTAATTCCGAATACTCCGACCAATCTGGGGAATCTCATTCTTCTACTGAAGAAGGTACGAATATCAATAACTGCGCAGTTCACTTATACACTAGGTAGCGTGTTGTTTGGAAAACGCTCTCAACGCTCCCGACACTTTTAGTACATCTATTGGTTATTGGTTTACAACTGTCCATTCCTGGAGCTAAAACATTAGGTATATGCATACGAAATTAAGGTAGACAGCCTCATAGACCAATAGACGGATATACAGACGTCGACTTTGCTTCGGGAAGTGTTACCTTGTAATATATTTTTCTCCTACAGATCAAACCAATACTAGACAAGAGAGCGAAGGAGTAACGACTACAAAATCTGATGACCGAGATGAAAGAGCAGAATCCTTAGGCCCTGACGATGAGAAGAAAGAGAACTACGGTAACATTTTTTTGTTCTCTCTTATCGCACGCTGTTAAAAATAAAAGTAAATTACATAATAAACATTGACTTAGAGAAGGGATGGGGTACCCCAATCACCCCACCCCCGAAGGGGGGAGGGGGGATGGTATATGTATTTGTTCGTCAAGTTCACCAATTAAAACAAACAACTAAAACTAAAACTAAAATGTACCACCTGTCAACTGTGTGTTTTGAGGTAAGTTAAAAGACACTGACACTTTTGTCTGAGGTAATAATGTGAGCTTATTCAGCTCGTTTTTATCCTTTAAAATTATATACATTGAACAACTAATGTTTGTCGTTTATGTCCTTTCAAATCAACAGGGAAAGGGCCACAAAAGAAGCTCAGGAACACAAGAAGAATGAAGAGGAAACGTAAGGAGCGAGTTCCTGTGACATATCAAGCATTTTTCAAACATGGAAGGGGGACGTTTGCTTGGGTGTTCAGGTCAACAATTTTTCAGGGGGGGGGCTGTCGATGAGGCGTTGCAGTCAACTCGTGATATATGTTGTCGCGTCTGCATTATGGTGACACGCCTTGTTGGGGTGGCAAATTGGTGACGCCCTTTTGTTTAAACAAAATTTGAGGAATTACATTGTGGCAAACCGTCTATAGATCGATTCCTCGTGGTCCAAAGCATGTGTGCACCGAAATTTGTGGAGGCAGGATAAGGTAAACCTGGGTTAGTTGAAATTGTATGTTGCACAAGTCTTTGGGGAAGTCGACTTATTGTAGCATTCAGCGAGAATGTGATTATTAGTATTATTACTACTATTACTATAAAAGGGCGACAGATTTTGCTAACTCCGTCCACAATAGGGCGATACACCTTATTCAGGCGACATTTTAACTGTCGCCCTTTTATGAAAACGACCCTTAGGACAAAGAATTTTGATGTCGCAAACCATCTAGATCGATTCCTCATGGTCCAATTAGTATAAATACTAAATTTCGTGGAAAAAAAAAGGTAAGGTAAACTTGGGTTAGGTGACAGTTTAGGTTTGTGCACAAGGCTAAGGGAAAGTCACCCTACTGCAGCCAAAAGAGTAATTATTATTATTATTATTATTATTATTGTGCAATAAAGTTAGAGACACTGACCCTTTAATCTGAGAAAAATCAATAATGTTGAAAGCACAATCAGTTTTTTGTTTAATATAATAAGTTGATATTGAGCTACTGAAAACATAATTTAACTTTAGTGTACCTTTAATTATTTCGTAAATGTCTTTTTCAATATTCGCAGAGCAAAGGCCAGAGAGAAAGACCAGGAACAATACGACAAAGAGGAGGAAAAGTGAGTAGAGTTTTGGAGCTCATACTTTTGTTCTATTTCTAGACAAATACATCTCAGTGTGAGCAAGTACAATTCAATAGATGCTCCTTAAGAATTGAGAGGCATCTCAAGAAAAGTATCCCATGGATCGAGTCAACATTCATTGTATAGTCTCGACCATGTACTATATAAAAACAATGCACACCTTTGGACTCGCCTCTTGAAGAGATAATAAGAAAACTGAGTATACACAATTAGTACTAAGTGTATCTCTTATCTGCAACGAAACAGTCTATAACTGAAACAAAAGGAATAACCTAAAGAGGAGTAAACAATTAACTGTTTACTCCTCTTTAGGTTATTCCTTTTGTTTCAGTTATAGACTGTTTCGTTGCAGATAAGAGATACACTTAGTACTAATTGTGTATACTCAGTTTTATTATTATCTCTTCAAGAGGCGAGTCCAAAGGTGTTAGCCTTTAAAATGAAACAAAAGGTTTTTTTTTACTCTGTAGGCAGACAAAACTTAACCAAATTAGGCTTCATACAAGTTCAAATTCGCACACAAGGTAACTTTAATACAAATAAACAACATCGAATATGCGTATGTAAAAAATACTGTGTGGGATAAAGACAATCGTTTTGACAAATTTCAATATTATGTGAGTAGAATTGTCCTAAAGATTTTGATGGTTTTTTGTTCTAAACAGGGAAAAAGCCAAGGAGGATGAAGAACTGTAAGTAGAGTATTTGACAACTGTCAGAAAAAAGGCAGCGAGATATGGAACTTTTTGCCTGTATTTTGTTTTCCAATCCGATTCTGTTCTGTCCCAACGTTATACGTCAATACTTATCTGTCTACTCGAAGTATTTTTTTCCTTTTCTTCTTTGATTTTCTTTTCTGTCCCTTCCTTATGAAGCCCTTACTTTCGGTAGCCCTTTAGGGCCTTGTGATGGCAAAGTCTAAAATAATAATAAAATAATAAAAGCTATGGGAGACATTTACACACTTCTTAAAGTCGTGAACAATAGGCGGCATTTTCACCGATGAGGCCGTCATAGGGTTCATTGCCCTTGACCCAAAACCGCTTAACATATACTGCGCATATACAAACTAAATACAACTTTAGTGGAATATCCACTTTCAGGGACATTTGTGAATACCCCAGAGGAATATACTTAGTTATTAGGATGACCAATTGTTTTTCAGTCTTTTTCGTCACATTTCATGCCAAAACTTTGGGGTTTTATCTTCATTTTGTTTGTTTGTATGATCGTTGAATGTTGCAAAAAATTTAGCTCTGGTTATGATAACCAGTTGGAGGTCACGGCATTGAACCGTGTTAATTAAAGCTTTATTTTGCTGGTTTCACTTTAAACAGGTGTACAGGTGTTTTGCATTTATACCTCAGCTGCTTCGCTTGCTAAACATCAAAGAGTTTGTGGTAAGGCTAGGGCAAATTCAACTTTTTGTTTTCAAATTTAGAAGCTCCAACATGAAACGTAATATTTTGTTTGATAGAGATTCGAACGATTGAATCGAAACTTGAAATGTATTTGAAGAATAACAATAATTTTTGTGTCGCTCTAAGTAAATATAGTTTTATTATACTCTGTGGAAAATAAACGAAATATGTCTGACACAACACCTAAGCATGCTGAGGAAGAAAGCACAACATATTCCCGAAAAGCTGATTGTGAGAAACGACGAATCTGAATATTCCAAACAAAAAATGGGCATTCTCATTTGTCTACCGTGGAAGGTACGAATATCAATGAAAGTGTATAACCCGCTTCTATATACGAGATAGTGTGATGTTTGGAAAGCACAATATTTCCCTGTTATCTTCAGTGCATCGGCTTCTGTTAACTCCTGAGGCTAAAACTTTAGGTACAAATTTATGGTAGACGGCACTATATGCCAACGGACAGACACATAGACACCAACTTTGGTTAAGTAAGTGTTAGAACCTACCTCTGATTTTTTTTTAACAGGACATACCAATACTGGACAAGCGAGCGAAGAAGTAAAAACGCCACAAAGTGATGACCGATATGGAAAAGCAAAATCCTCTGGCTCTGACGATGCTCTCTACCTCATCATATGTGCTGGTGAATACATTATATTTGCTAAACATGCTACAATGCTGAAAAAGATGGCATACATATTACCTATCACCTTCTTCTATAATGAGAAATAGCTTGGCGATAACTTACACGCCCGTTAGAACAATATCGAACTAGATACAGCCATTCACCTCTGCATGCAAGTTTACTAATAGAATCGACGTCAGTGCTTCCTTTACCAAAATAAACCTTACTACAACATGTATACAGATTTTAACAGCATCGTGGAAGAAACTCGTGTTGTAGATTATTTGCATATTTGTCATGAAACGCAAAAAACACCCTGAATTGAAAAGTATATAACTAGAAATTAAACAAAAATAAATAAATTAGGCTGCATTTTTTTGTACCACTGAAGAAGATCTTGTTAAGATCGCAACATCAGGCCGCCATAATTGTTTTACATTTACTTTAAAAGTAGTACGGCCAGTTCTGTAATTCGTGTACAAGTTGGACGCTCACATTTCGGTCTGACGATGATGTTGAAACATTTCAAATAATATCGAAAGCCAGATAAGTTCTTTCTTTTCATAATAAATTGTTGTTGTGACATTTTGCTATAATAGTGAACGTATCATAACTTGTGACGTATACCAAATTGTTTATCAATACACAGAGGAAAGACCACAGAAGAAAACCAGGAACAATAGAAGAAGCAGAAAGAAAAGTAAGGAGAATTTCGGTGCTCTTACTTTTGTTATTAACTGTAAACATTGTGAGCAGCAGAACAGAAGCACATTTTAGGAATGTTTGTAAAAAAATGTGAACCTTGGGATGGAGTCGCTATGGATGTTATAGCCCCGACCATCTACCCTTTATCAATTGATATCGAAAGATCCATTCTGTTTCAAAATGAGTAGTTATTGTACGACTTATGGTGTTCAGATTTCTTTCAAAGGAATGCTAATCGCTAGACCTTTAACAGTGCTTATTAATCTTAGCGACAATTGTAACACGGTACCGCATTGCGATGCATGCTAGTCTTTCTTCAATTGGTAAATCATTCCAAGGCAATAGATATAGGTTATCGTAGATTTAAAGAAACATTGTCTTACTAAAGTACTGACAAAAGACGCCCAACACCACATTTGCTCTTTTTGTGAAACAAATGCACAACTTCTCTACAGGGTGAGTCAAATTATTCCATGTCGGGACTTATTGTTTTAGTGAAGTTCTGCATGTAGCACTTCAAAATTCTAAGACACGAAAGCCCAATTCATAGATTTCCTTTCAGTACAAGAATCATTCAAATCACTCATGTAGGGCTACTTTTAGAGTTACGGAATTTTAAACAAAACCACCGTTTTAAAGTTCTGTCCACGTATCACTAAAAAGTGTAAGTTCTTTCAGCAAAACTTAAACCATTCACACTCACCCCTATGTGATTTGTTTTCGTTTTGCTGAAGGAACACTTACCTTTTGGTAATCCAAGATTACAACAAGTTAATCCAAGATATCCAAGATTTTGAAAGTGTTAGATGCAGAACTTCACTAAAGCAATGATCCCAAAATTTGTTTTTTTTACTCACTCTATATATAAGATCAAGGAATAAATAAGGAATATAAGGGAATCAAGTAATAAAAATACATTAAAATACCGATTGTAATTTCCATACGTTGTAGGGCAGAAACGAAACATGCCTGACACCACATCTCAACATGCTGATCAAGAAAGCAAATCAGACTCCCAAACAGCTGATTGTGAGAGACAAGACGATTCTGAATACCCCGAAAAATCTGGGCAATCTCATTCGTCTACTGTAAAAGGTACGAATTTCAATAAAAGTTCACATTTCGGTTAAATACGAGATTGTGTACAGTTTCGAAAGCAAAATATTTCCTGTTATTCTCTTCAAGCGTGTATCAGTGAGAATAAGATGGGCTGCATCCTCAAGCTCGACACAGGCAAGAAGACACTCATGCGGACGTTAAGTTTAGTAGATGAAAATTGTGTCTCGCAAAATTGTTTCTTCACTCTCTTGTCAAAAAGAAAATAAAAATACACAAGAGAGTGAAGGAGTAATGACACCACAATATGATGACCGAGATGAAAGAACAAAATCCTCCAGCGACATGCAACGACAATCAAAAGAAGTACGGTTACACAAGAAAAGTTGTAATGCTCTTTTCATCAAGCGCTGGTAAAATTAGTTTACATTATAACTGCCAAGCATGCTGCGATGTTTAATAAGATGGCATATATTTCACTTTGTTGTAAAGACTAATAGCTAGGCGATGACCAAGACCTTCGTTTTTAACAATATTGAAACACGTTCAACACCCCCCACTCAGTATTAAACTTTACCACCAAAATTACAGACAGATGTTTCTTTCACACGGACACACCTTTACATATGTACAAACTCCCAGGATTGTGGAAAACAACTGTTCATATGGACTGGACAAGTCCGTGAGAGATTTTTCTTCAATGAATTCCGAAAATTTAAAAAAGAAGAGGTAAAATAAGTAATGTCCTCTGATTCATTGTTTAACAACATATTGTAATGGTTTAATAACATATCTTGATACAGGGCCTACACATTCCGAAGAAGAGACCAGTGTTAAGAATCTCCAAATTGATCCATCTATCCGTGTTGAATCTAGCGAGAAGCACCAAGACGCTAATGTACCTGACGTCTCGAATGCAAAAGGTAAATAGCACAAATAGCTTTAGGAAGTTGTATGTTATGTTGTCAAATTCACAATGGCATGAGGCATCTTATAGTAAGGCGAAATGATAACGGTCTGCAAACAAACAAAAAACACCCCAACACCCCCAACAAACAAACAAACAAACAAACAAACAAACACCCCAACAAACAAACACCCCAACACCCCAACAAACAAACACCAATGAAATCATAGGTAATAAAATAAAGCAACTTTTCACATTTTTAACTTGGGATCAGTTCGTATTATACTATTATTTTGATAGGAAGAAAAAAGGAGGAGGCTGCCACGGAGTTCAATCACTGTAAAGGAGAGAGAAGCACTGCTCTATGTAGCTCAGACAGTTTGAGGGAAGAGAAATCTGCTAATGCTTCGGACTCTCAAACCTCCTCTGTATCGACAGAACAGAAAGACAGGTGTGAACGGATCTCTTTTGTTCTGTTAGAACTTCTCTCTGGCATGTGAAAATTAGAACTTCCCACGTAAAGTGTTTGTTGAAATGTTTTAGCAGGCTTTTCTAGCCCTTCTATAGTCATCATTTTATAGCTTTTCACAGGTCACGTCTCTATAAGAAAACGTTAATGAAATGCCCTTTTTATCTCAATTACTGTTACCTCATCTTAATGAAATGTCTAAGTAAGTTAATCTCTAGTTCTAACCAGTAGTAACGTGCTTAAGTGATACCCCCATCTTGTTGCCTACAGAATACATAGACCAAACACACGCTGGGAATAAAATATCTTTTGACAATCTTTTCAAAAATGATATCTTTAAATGGATGAAATACCTCCCTATATATACAATCTGCTGTTTTTTAAACATCCTACGAGTACCGTTGCCATTCTTTTACTTCTACAGTAAAGAGAAGGGAGGACGCCTGATCCAGGTTTTTGTGAATAGTCCGTTGAGATCTCCTTTATGTCTGCAACTGCATCCATCAACCA